CTATACTATGACGTTTTTTCATGATTTTGCACGACATGCTATAGTATGACGTTTTTTCATGATTTTGGACGACATGCTATACTATGATGTTTTTTCATGATCTTGGACGACATGCTATACTATGACTTTTTTTCATGATTTTGGACGACATGCTATACTATGACTTTTTTCATGATTTTGGACGACATGCTATACTATGACTTTTTTCATGATTTTGGACGACATGCTATACTATGACATATTTCATGATTTTGGACGACATGCTATACTATGACTTTGTCATGATTTTTGACAACATGCTATACTATGACATATTTCATGATTTTGGACGACATGCTATACTATGACTTTTTTTCATGATCTTGGACGACATGCTATACTATGACGTTTTTTCATGATTCGGCACTACATGCTATACTTTGACATATTTCATGATTGTGGACGACATGCTATACTATGACGTTTTTTCATGATTTTGCACGACATGCCATAGTATGACGTTTTTTCATGATTTTGGACAACATGCTATATTATGATGTTTTTTCATGATTTTGGACGACATGCTATACTATGACTTTTTTTCATGATTTTGCACGACATGCTATACTTTGACATATTTCATGATTTTTGACGACATGCTATACTATAATGTTTTTTCATGATTTTTGACGACATGTTATACTATGACTTTTTTCATGATTTTGGATGACATGCTATACTATGACTTCTTTCATGATTTTTGACGACATGCTATACTATGACTTTTTTTCATGATTTGGGACGACATGCTATACTTCGACGTTTTTCCATGATTTTTGACGACATGCTATACTTTGACGTTTTTTCATGATTTTGGACGACATGCTATAATATTTTTTCATGATTTTTGATGAAATTCTAGAAAAAACATCATAGTAAAGGACGTCATCAACAATCTAGAAAAAAGACAAAGTATAGCATGTTGTCCAAAATATTTAGAAAATGTACTAATCAGGCATGTCATCCAAAATCATGAAAAATCGGCACAGTATAGCAAGTCGTCAGAAGTCTAGAAGTAACATTATAGTATTGCATGTTGTCAGAAATCTTGAAAAAAAAGTCACAGTAACGTATATCGTCAAAAATTGGGATCATAGATCATAGATCATAGGGTCATAGTATAGCAAGTCATAAAAATCCAGAAAAAATGTAATAGCATAGCAAGTTGTCAGAAATCTAGGAGAAACTTTATGGTATGGTGAGAGTCAAAAGCCTAGAAATAACATAATATAGCATGTCGTCAAAAATCTAGAAAAAATGTCATACCAAAATATATCATCAAAAATTGGGAAGCAAGTCATAGTGTAGCATGTCGTCAAAAATCGCAATAAAACATCATAGGATAGTATGTCGTACAAAATCATAAAAAAAGTCCTAGTGTGTCATCAAAAATCTAGAAAAAAAACATCATACTATAGCATGTCATCCAAAATTGCAGCGAGAAAAGAAAAAAATAGTATAGCATGTCGTTCAAAATCATGCAACAAAATCTTATAGTATAGTATGTCATCAAAATTCTAGAAATAAATGTCATAGAATGGTACCTTGTCAAAAATCTAGATAAAACATCATAGTACAGCATTTCATCAAAAATCTAGAAAAAAACATTTTAGTACAGCATGTCGTGAAAAATGTTGAAAAAAAAATCATATTATAGCATGTGCTCAAAAATCTAGAGAAAATGTCATAGTATCTTATGTCAAAAATGACAAAAAAAAAAATTCATATGGAATGTTGTCAACACTCTAGAAAAAAATGTTGTAGAACAGAATGTCGTGAAAAATCTGGAAAAAACCTTATAGCATGTGCTCAAAAATCTAGAAAAAGCGTCATAGGATAGCATTTCGTAACAAATCTTGGAAAAATGTCATAGCATGTTGCGAAAAATATAGAAAAATCTAGTATACCATCCTAGGAAATCATTTTGTCAAAAATCACGAAAAAACATCACAGTATCGTATGTTGACAAAAATCTAGAATAAACGTTATAGTATGTCGTTACAAAATCACGAAAGAACATATTATAGTCTGTTGTCAAAAATCTAGAAAAAACATTATAGTATAATATGTTTTTAAAGTGTAGAAAAACCATAGTATGGTATGTCGTCAAGAATCTAGAGAAAGAGAGAGTTTTTATTGTTGTATGGTACTTTCAAAGGTTTACGACAAGTTACAAACTTTTCTACTTTAAGACCTTTGCGTTAGAATTTCTAACATCTGTAAAATGATATAATATACAGAAACTAGCTGTGACTGATAATGATTTTCAGAAAATGTGACATTTGTTTGCAAAAAGTTTATTTCAGTTCTTTCATAAGACTTTTCATATAATTCATACATCAGAGTGCAAAATAAAATAAAATAACCCAGTGAGAGATTGTTTAAGATATGTACAGTATAAGATATGTATAAGATATGATGTCACTACAGAGATAGCAGGATCAAAATACATGTCTTTTAAACATCGAATAATCTGTAATAATAAGCTGATTTCTGCCTGTCAGAGGCAGGAGGTCACACATAAAACACAAAATGGCGTGTAGCAAAGCATTCTGGGATAGAAAATGGAGTTCAGGTGTTTGGTGGGCAGTATTATGTGCCACCAGGGGGCAGCATGATGTCTGTCTTACCCCCAGGGGGCAGCATTATGTCGGTCTTACCACCAGGGGGCAGCATTATGTCGGTCTTACCACCAGGGGGCAGCATGATGTCTGTCTTACCCCCAGGGGGCAGCATTATGTCGGTCTTACCACCAGGGGGCAGCATTATGTCGGTCTTACCACCAGGGGGCAGCATGATGTCTGTCTTACCCCCAGGGGGCAGCATTATGTCGGTCTTACCACCAGGGGGCAGCATTATGTCGGTCTTACCACCAGGGGGCAGCATGATGTCTGTCTTACCCCCAGGGGGCAGCATTATGTCGGTCTTACCACCAGGGGGCAGCATTATGTCGGTCTTACCACCAGGGGGCAGCATGATGTCGGTCTTACCACCAGGGGGCAGCATTATGTCGGTCTTACCACCAGGGGGCAGCATTATGTCGGTCTTACCACCAGGGGGCAGCATTATGTCGGTCTTACCACCAGGGGGCAGCATTATGTCGGTCTTACCACCAGGGGGCAGCATTATGTCGGTCTTACCACCAGGGGGCAGCATTATGTCGGTCTTACCACCAGGGGGCAGCATTATGTCGGTCTTACCACCAGGGGGCAGCATGATGTCTGTCTTACCACCAGGGGGCAGCATTATGTCTGTCTTACCACCAGGGGGCAGCATTATGTCTGTCTTACCACCAGGGGGCAGCATGATGTCTGTCTTACCACCAGGGGGCAGCATGATGTCTGTCTTACCACCAGGGGGCAGTATTATGTCGGTCTTACCACCAGGGGGCAGCATTATGTCGGTCTTACCACCAGGGGGCAGCATGATGTCTGTCTTACCACCAGGGGGCAGCATGATGTCTGTCTTACCACCAGGGGGCAGCATTATGTCGGTCTTACCACCAGGGGGCAGTATTATGTCTGTCTTACCACCAGGGGGCAGCATGATGTCTGTCTTACCACCAGGGGGCAGCATGATGTCTGTCTTACCACCAGGGGGCAGTATTATGTCTGTCTTACCACCAGGGGGCAGCATGATGTCTGTCTTACCACCAGGGGGCAGCATGATGTCTGTCTTACCACCAGGGGGCAGTATTATGTCTGTCTTACCACCAGGGGGCAGCATGATGTCTGTCTTACCACCAGGGGGCAGCATGATGTCTGTCTTACCACCAGGGGGCAGCATTATGTCTGTCTTACCACCAGGGGGCAGCATGATGTCGGTCTTACCACCAGGGGGCAGCATGATGTCTGTCTTACCACCAGGGGGCAGCATGATGTCTGTCTTACCACCAGGGGGCAGCATTATGTCGGTCTTACCACCAGGGGGCAGCATGATGTCTGTCTTACCACCAGGGGGCAGCATTATGTCTGTCTTACCACCAGGGGGCAGCATTATGTCGGTCTTACCACCAGGGGGCAGCATGATGTCTGTCTTACCACCAGGGGGCAGCATTATGTCGGTCTTACCACCAGGGGGCAGTATTATGTCTGTCTTACCACCAGGGGGCAGCATGATGTCTGTCTTACCACCAGGGGGCAGCATGATGTCTGTCTTACCACCAGGGGGCAGCATTATGTCTGTCTTACCACCAGGGGGCAGCATTATGTCTGTCTTACCACCAGGGGGCAGCATGATGTCTGTCTTACCACCAGGGGGCAGCATGATGTCGGTCTTACCACCAGGGGGCAGTATTATGTCTGTCTTACCACCAGGGAGCAGCATGATGTCTGTCTTACCACCAGGGGGCAGCATGATGTCTGTCTTACCACCAGGCGGCAGCATTATGTCTGTCTTACCACCAGGGGGCAGCATTATGTCTGTCTTACCACCAGGGGGCAGCATGATGTCTGTCTTACCACCAGGGGGCAGCATGATGTCTGTCTTACCACCAGGGGGCAGCATGATGTCTGTCTTACCACCAGGGGGCAGCATGATGTCTGTCTTACCACCAGGGGGCAGCATGATGTCTGTCTTACCACCAGGGGGCAGCATGATGTCTGTCTTACCACCAGGGGGCAGCATGATGTCTGTCTTACCACCAGGGGGCAGCATGATGTCTGTCTTACCACCAGGGGGCAGCATGATGTCTGTCTTACCACCAGGGGGCAGCATGATGTCTGTCTTACCACCAGGGGGCAGCATGATGTCGGTCTTACCACCAGGGGGCAGCATGATGTCTGTCTTACCACCAGGGGGCAGCATGATGTCTGTCTTACCACCAGGGGGCAGCATGATGTCTGTCTTACCACCAGGGGGCAGCATGATGTCGGTCTTACCACCAGGGGGCAGCATGATGTCGGTCTTACCACCAGGGGGCAGCATGATGTCTGTCTTACCCCCAGGGGGCAGCATGATGTCTGTCTTACCACCAGGGGGCAGCATGATGTCTGTCTTACCACCAGGGGGCAGCATGATGTCGGTCTTACCACCAGGGGGCAGCATGATGTCTGTCTTACCACCAGGGGGCAGCATGATGTCTGTCTTACCACCAGGGGGCAGCATGATGTCGGTCTTACCACCAGGGGGCAGCATGATGTCGGTCTTACCACCAGGGGGCAGCATGATGTCTGTCTTACCACCAGGGGGCAGCATGATGTCTGTCTTACCCCCAGGGGGCAGCATGATGTCGGTCTTACCACCAGGGGGCAGCATGATGTCTGTCTTACCACCAGGGGGCAGCATGATGTCTGTCTTACCACCAGGGGGCAGCATGATGTCGGTCTTACCACCAGGGGGCAGCATGATGTTAGTCTTACCACCAGGGGGCAGCATGATGTCTGTCTTACCACCAGGGGGCAGCATGATGTCTGTCTTACCACCAGGGGGCAGCATGATGTCTGTCTTACCACCAGGGGGCAGCATGATGTCGGTCTTACCACCAGGGGGCAGCATGATGTCTGTCTTACCACCAGGGGGCAGCATGATGTCTGTCTTACCCCCAGGGGGCAGCATGATGTCGGTCTTACCACCAGGGGGCAGCATGATGTCTGTCTTACCACCAGGGGGCAGCATGATGTCTGTCTTACCACCAGGGGGCAGCATGATGTCTGTCTTACCACCAGGGGGCAGCATGATGTCGGTCTTACCACCAGGGGGCAGCATGATGTCTGTCTTACCACGCGGCGGCAGCATGATGTCGGTCTTACCACCAGGGGGCAGTATTATGTCTGTCTTACCACCAGGGGGCAGCATTATGTCTGTCTTACCACCAGCGGCAGCATGATGTCTGTCTTACCACCAGGGGGCAGCATTATGTCGGTCTTACCCCCAGGGGGCAGCATTATGTCGGTCTTAGCCCCAGGGGGCAGTATTATGTCTGTCTTACCCCCAGGCGTCAGTATTATGTCGGTCTTACCACCAGGGGGCAGCATGATGTCGGTCTTACCCCCAGGGGCAGCATGATGTCTGTCTTACCACCAGGGGGCAGTATTATGTCTGTCTTCCCACCAGGGGGCAGTATTATGTCGGTCTTACCACCAGGGGGCAGCATGATGTCTTTCTTACCACCAGGGGCAGCATGATGTCTGTCTTACCACCAGGGGGCAGCATTATGTCGGTCTTACCACTAGGGGCAGCATGATGTCTGTCTTACCACCAGGGGGCAGCATGATGTCTGTCTTACCACCAGGGGGCAGTATTATGTTGGTCTTACCACCAGGGGGCAGTATTATGTTGGTCTTACCACCAGGGGGCAGCCTGGAGCTGCATCTGTATCCACTCCACATACTTCTCCACTCGGGTGTAGACTCCATACACCCTCTGACTCCCACACTCCTCCGGCCCGCCCCAGGACACCAACCCAAACACCACCCACCTCCGGCTGACCCCATCCTCCATTACAAACGCCCCCCCGCTGTCCCCCAGGCAGGTGTCCCGCCCACCCTCGAAGAAGCCGGCGCAGAACATGTTGTCCGTGATGTTGTAGCTGACAGAGCGCGAGGTATAGCTCGCCTGACACTCGTCCTGAGAAACCACCGGCAGCTTCACGTACTGCAGGAGATCAGAGGTCATCCCAAGGTCAGAGGTCAGCATGGGGGGGTCACCAGAGGGGGAGGAGGCATTGATGTTGGAAATTCCCCAACCAGCAACTACACCCAGAGAGTTAGGGAGAGGTGAGGGCAGGGCATCCTGAAGAAGTGACAAAGGTCAAACGTTGAAGAAGATATTTTTATCTGTTTGTTTCCATGGCAACAAAAGGTTTTTACAGGTACAAATGGTAAAACTGATGTAGAATGAGTAAATAACCAGTATGATACAGTAGTTAAAGTAGCGGAAACAGTAGCAGCTGTATTAGTGGTAGTAGAAGCAGTAATAGCAGTAGCAGTAGTAGTAGTAGATGTAGCAGTAGTAGTAGTAGTAGTAGTAGTAGGAGCAGAAAAAGTAGCAGTAGTAGGCAGCAGTAGATGTAGCAGCAGTAGTAGCAATAGCAGTAGTAGTAGTAGTACCAGTAGTAGCAGTAGCAGAAGTAGTAGTAGATGTAGCAGCAGTAGTAGCAATAGCAGTAGTAGTAGTAGTACCAGTAGTAGCAGTAGCAGAAGTAGTAGTAGATGTAGCAGTAGTAGTAAAATTAGTAGTAGTTGTCGTAGTAGTGGTCATGGTAGTAGCAGTAGCAGAAGTAGTAGTAGATGTAGCACTAGTAGCAGTAGTAGTAGTAGTAGTAGTAGTAGGATATAGTAGTATTAGCAGTAGCAGATGTAGCAGTAGTAGATGTAGTAATTAGTAGTAGTAGATGCAACAGTAGTAGAAGCAGTATTAGTAGATGTAGTAGTATTAGTAGTAGATTTAGCAGTAGTACTAGTAGTAGATGTAGCAGTATTAGCAGTAGATGTAGTAGTATTAGTAGTAGGAGATGTAGCAGTATTAGCAGTAGATGTAGTAGTATTAGTAGTAGTAGATGTAGCAGTATTAGTAGTAGGAGATATAGCAGTAGTAGATGTAGTAGTATTAGTAGTAGGAGATGTAGCAGTAGTAGATGTAGCAGTAATAGATGCAGCAGTAGTAGCAGTAATAGATGTAGCAGTAGCAGCAGTAGTAGATGTAGCAGTAGTAGATGTAGCAGTAGCAGCAGTAGTAGATGTAGTAGTATTAGTAGTAGGAGATGTAGCAGTAGTAGATGCAGCAGTAGTAGCAGTAGTAGATGTAGCAGTAGTAGCAGTAGATGTAGCAGTAGCAGCAGTAGTAGATGTAGCAGTAGTAGATGTAGCAGTAGCAGCAGTAGCAGCAGTAGATGTAGCAGTAGTAGATGTAGCAGTAGCAGCAGTAGTAGATGTAGCAGTAGTAGATGCAGTAGTAGATGTAGCAGTAGCAGCAGCAGTAGATGTAGCAGTAGCAGCAGTAGTAGATGTAGCAGTAGCAGCAGTAGTAGATGTAGCAGTAGTAGATGTAGCAGTAGCAGCAGTAGATGTAGCAGTAGCAGCAGTAGTAGATGTAGCAGTAGTAGATGTAGCAGTAGCAGCAGTAGATGTAGCAGTAGTAGATGCAGTAGTAGATGTAGCAGTAGCAGCAGTAGTAGATGTAGCAGTAGTAGATGTAGCAGTAGCAGCAGTAGTAGATGTAGCAGTAGTAGATGTAGCAGTAGTAGCAGTAGTAGATGTAGCAGTAGTAGATGTAGCAGTAGTAGCAGTAGTAGATGTAGCAGTAGTAGATGTAGCAGTAGTAGCAGTAGTAGATGTAGCAGTAGTAGATGTAGCAGTAGTAGCAGTAGTAGATGTAGCAGTAGTAGATGTAGCAGTAGTAGCAGTAGTAGATGTAGCAGTAGTAGATGTAGCAGTAGTAGCAGTAGTAGATGTAGCAGTAGTAGATGTAGCAGTAGTAGCAGTAGTAGATGTAGCAGTAGTAGATGTAGCAGTAGCAGCAGTAGTAGTAGTAGCAGTAGTAGATATAGCAGTAGTAGCAGTAGTAGATGCAGCAGTAGTAGATTTAGTAGTACCTGGCTGTGAGGCGGAGGCAGACAGACTGGACGGATGAACTCAGTAAACTCCACCCGCTCCTTCAGCCTCAGCAGGGCGATGTCGTTGTTGTAGTTGTTTGGTTGGAACTCTGGATGGAGGAAGATTTCCTCCACTGAGCGGTTGGTTGCCAGACGTTTGTCTCCAGCATCATGGAGACCCAGGAACACCTGAAAGACACATCCTGGTTAAACTGGTCTCCGTCCACCAGGTGTCTAAACTTAAAGACAATAAAGGTTTAAAAACCTTGACGTGTTCAGGGGCCACAGGGACGACGCTGGTGTCCCTCCTCTGGGACCTGAGGACGTGGGCGGCCGTCAAGACCCAAGATGGGGACAGCAGGGCCCCGGACCCGAACCAGCGGTCCTCTGGGACCCGGGACAGATCCTCCACACTGAGCAGGACTTGCCATGGGAACAGGCCAGGCTCGGCACCGCGACCGCCAACGATCCGCTTCACCTGAGGGGGGAGGGAGCGGGACGTCCGGCCGCAGGCTGGATAGAGACATGGATATGTGGACACATGGAGACACAAGGACATGGATACATGGAGACAGGTACTGTATGTATACACTTCTTGTATGAGCAGACATACAGGTGTTACCTGGCAGACAGGTGGGCAGTCTGGCTCCTGACTCTGAGCTGATCCACTCTCCAGTCGGCCCACAGCTGTAGGAACCTTCAACACACACATACATCATCTTTGAACTCTGAACCCTGACCTCTGACCTCTGACCCTGATCCAAGATGAACACAAAGTGTAAAGATTAAAACCCCCAGTGAAGAAGCAGCAGACACATCTGAAGTACAAAAACACACAAACACATACAACAGGTAGTACTTCAAAATGCGGCACGTGTACTAACAGGAACTAAGAAACGAGATCATATTTCTCCTGTTTTAGCTTCTCTGCACTGGCTCCCTGTAAAATCCAGAATTGAATTTAAAATCCTACTGTTAACTTATAAAGCTCTAAATGGTCAAGCTCCGTCATATCTTAGAGAGCTCATAGTGCCATATTATCCCACCAGAACACTGCGCTCTGAGAACGCAGGGTTACTCGTGGTCCCTAAAGTCTCCAAAAGTAGATCAGGAGCCAGAGCCTTCAGCTATCAGGCTCCTCTCCTGTGGAATCATCTTCCTGTTACGGTCCGGGAGGCAGACACCGTCTCCACATTTAAGACTAGACTTAAGACTTTCCTCTTTGATAAAGCTTATAGTTAGGGCTGGCTCAGGCTTGCCCTGTACCAGCCCCTAGTTAGGCTGACTTAGGCCTAGTCTGCCGGAGGACCCCCCTATAATACACCGGGCACTGCAGTGTAAGATTTAATCTTAATTCAGATAAAAGTATTAAACTGCATAAGTTGATTAAGAGTGAAGTTCATATAACCATATTTTATGTTACAAGTTATTATAAAACTGCTTGTTATGCATCCATGTGTGATAAAAACAATGTTACACAAGTTCGTATATTCACAACACAAGGTTATGCATTTATATTAAAGAACACACATACACCACACCATGTATTGTTTAATAATAACACACACACACTCTTTAATGTTTGTATTGCACAACACACATTCTAAGCTCACATTGTTTGAAAGTACAGGGGACTGTATAGAGAAAGTCCCCAGGTTTCATATGTTTTTTAAAAATAAAGTGAAAGCAGGCCCAAAACTAAGGGTGGAGAATTTGGAAAATTCCAGGCCTAAAGTGAAAGTGATTACACCATTAGAAACAGGCCTGTTCAGGATTGGATAAAAGGAAAAAGCTCGCCACCAATAGATTTGGGTCTAAGTGGGAAGAATTAATGAAAAGAGGTGGAGATTCTGTCAAACCTCCATCAGCATAAAAGAGAGCGCATTGAGAGCCAGTCTCTAGTCGCGCTCCGGAGCCTGACTCAATGAGTTGTATGTGTTGTTGCTTGTGGACACATTAAACTCGATTGCACCTGATTCTACTCGACTCCAGTGTTTCTCTAAGTGTTTGCCAACTGAACCTAAGGTACTAAATCAACATCAGAGGACGATCTGCAGGAGAAGTAGGAAACGAGGTCGGGTGCCATCTGGCCCACTTCCAGGCACCGATTTTCACTTCTACAGCACCTTCTCTCCTTCTCTCTCTCTCTCTCTCTCGTATTCTATTACTGCATCTTGCTAACTCGGCCATTCTGGATGTCACTAACTCGGCTTCTTCTCCGGAGCCTTTGTGCTCCACTGTCTCTCAGATTAACTCATATCACAGCGGTGCCTGGACAGTGTGACGTGTGTGGTTGTGCTGCTGCCGTGGTCCTGCCAGATGCCTCCTGCTGCTGCTGCCATCATTAGTCATTAGTCATACTTCTACTGTTATTATACACATATGACTATTGTCACACATGTATACTGCCAGATATTAATACATACTTTCAACATATTGTACCACAGTAGCCAGAACTATAACTATAATATTATTACTTTCAATAATGTTGTTGTAAGCTACTGTCATTACCTGCATCTCTCTCTCTCTCTCTCTCTCTCTCTCTCTCTCTCTCTCTCTCTCATTGTGTCATACGGATTACTGTTAATTTATTATGCTGATCTGTTCTGTACGACATCTATTGCACGTCTGTCCGTCCTGGAAGAGGGATCCCTCCTCAGTTGCTCTTCCTGAGGTTTCTACCGTTTTTTCCCCGTTAAAGGGTTTTTTGGGGAGTTTTTCCTGATCAGCTGTGAGGGTCATAAGGACAGAGGGATGTCGTATGCTGTAAAGCCCTGTGAGGCAAATTGTGATTTGTGATATTGGGCTTTATAAATAAAATTGATTGATTGATTGATTGATATTTCGAGAACATAAGTAGAATTACACAGTAGTGGTAGTCGTAGTACCTGTAAAATTAGTGAACAACTCTTTACATACTTTTCATGCTGTAGTTTTATAACATAAAATAAAATTAATCACTAAGTACTAGAATAAATACATATTCTGAGTACAGTGAGCTGTGGTACATTCATATTCGGAGTCTAAGTACTTGGAATAATACTAATACTCTTACTGTTGCTGGCGTTGAGCTGGAAGGCTTCGTCCCTGCAGACGTAGTGAATCGTCGATCCAAAGAGGGTGCTGTTGTCATGACTACCAAACATCACATCGGCCATGGCAACTGCCGTCGGACTCCCACAATCCACCACTGTGAGAGAGAGAACCAATCAGCTGTCAGCAAGTAGAGGACCACTGGGATGATGATGAGGACTTAAAAGGATGAAGAGCTGGTCTCAGCCGGTGATAAAGGCAGTGATTAGCTCTGACATCCTGAGGAGGATGTTAATTTTCACATCAGGAACACCCACAGAGACAGCATGACGGAACAAGATCTCGTATCCCCACCCAGCACCCTGTTCTACATCAATGAACACAACCTAGGGAGGTCATCAAGTTAACCTGAACATCCTCAGCCCCAGGTCTGAAAGGAGCACAAGGTCTTCAAACTGTGTGCCAGACTTTGGAAGATCGACAGGTGATCTGAAGAAGAGGAAAGGTGCCTCAGCAGAAGGTGTGAGGATTCTTCAGGTGGAGAATGGAAGCAGGACAAGTGTGAAATGTAAGATCATCTTCGACATTGTTGCCAATCACCTGGCAGGATTTCTCCGGAAGAACTTCTACATAGACACCTCGGTGCAGACCAGAGTCATCCCAGGTGTTCCAGGTGTGGTAATCCAACTGATCAGTGAGGGGCAACGAAGCAGGAGAGACTTGGAGGGGCAGTCAGTGGCTAGACGGTGCTAATGTCTAAGGATTGATCTCATACAGGCTGGTAGAATAAGCCCCTACCAGATACCACATCCCAGAGAAGATATGAATCCATGTCCTTGACAACTTAAACCTGAAGATGTACTCTGGGGCTTCAACACCAGCGTGGCATTGGTGAGAAAAGGGAATCATCACCAGTTGCACAATTTCTGTACTTTTACACCACATGTCACATTCACTCATTGGTGGTTCAGTTTTTGCCCAAGGCTACTTCAGCACATGGACCGTCAGAGCAAGTGATCAAACTTCCGATTTGTGAAGTCTGCATAAGTGAAGTGCAGAAGTGTGCGGTCCAAATCTGGCACCAAATGGCGGCTTCAACATGGGCAGGATTGGGCTTCAAACCCGTAAAATCCAGGTTTCTGGTCCTCAAGAAACGAAGAGCAACTGACCAGTTTCACTTCCTTTTAGGAGACGCCCCAAATCCATCTGTGACAGAAAAGAAAGTCAAGAACATGGACACCAGCAATCTGAAGGACACAGCAGCACACCAAGCAACCAGTGATGACATCTACACATGGCTCTACACAGGGAAGAATTCTGGACTTTCTGGAAAGTTCAAGGCTTGGATATACCTAAATGGAATTCTGCTGATCTGTGAAGTCTGAATCACCATCATGGAGGGCTTTGAAAGGAAGGTCAGCTGGTTCCTGACCGGCTGGCTGGGCATATGAGCAAAGCACGAAGCTGCAGCTTCCTTTCAGCAGTCTGATGGGGGAGTTCAAGGTCAGCTGAGCCAGAGAGGTCCTGATCTACGAAGACTCCACTGATCCCAAAATCTCCTCAGTAGGCTTCCAGGTCAGGACAGGAAGGAAGTGGTGCAAGTAGGAGGCAAATGAGCAGGTGGATGCAAGATTGTGGCACAGCACCCTAATGGGTGCTATGGCAACCAGTCAGGTCAGGTTCAGGACAATTCAAGACTTTGCAACAGTAGCACTTATCCAGGAGAAGGTACGCTCAGAGGTGGAAGAAGTTTGCTGCAGCAGGATGTTGGGGATGTGTAAGCAGGGGACCTGGACCAGGTGGAAGCCAACAACTGGCCAAAAGATCACCTGCGAAAGACTCTGGAAGGCAGAACCACAACGATTCAAGTTCTTGGTCCAGTTGATGTTTAATGTCCACCAAAGTCCTGCAGACCTGTTCAGCTGGGGCCTGGAGGACTCACCTTCCTGCCAACTCTACCACAACATCCTCCTTGGAGCACATCCTCATCCTTATCCTCAGCTACTGTCCAAAGGCTTCAGGTAGGGAGCCATACTGTTGATGCCACAACCGACTTCTCCAGGCAGCAGCAGACATGACTTAAACAGGTATCAGCTACAGCGTCTACACCCAATGAAGTGCACCACCACTTTTGACCAAGCAAGAGGACTCATGTGACCAATCAGAGAGATGATCAGATGACGTGATGATGTTTGATGAAATGAACAGAGATGAACACGTCATGTGTGTTTTATTCCCTCAGATCAGGTGTTTCCAGTGATGACTGCGTGGAAGGCACATGCAAAAGCCAGAGTGACGTTGTTGCGGAGTGACAAGTGTCACACGCACTGGTTTTTCAGGGCGCAACAGCGGAAGCCTGAGATAAACAAAGTTCAACTTTTGGAACACAGCAGGGTGTGCTGCATGTCATGTGACGAGGACCAACCAATCACAGCTGGTACTCACCTGTAGATATATTTTAATATACACTTTGTAACCAACGCCTGGAAGATGATTGGCTCCAGACTCTGCATCTCTGGTAAGTTATGATCGCTTTGCATTGTCAGGTGAAACTACCCTCCACTCCCTTAGAGTTGGCACCCACCGCCCGACCTCATGTCATCCAGGTGGTAAAGAACGCCGTATGTGTCCCGGCCTGATTGAACACGAGACAGGAAGTTTAACATTAGTGTTGTGATTATGATTAAAGTCTTCCGCCACGTGTTCATGTGTTCACATTATTATCATGACGTCAATGATTGTTGTCGTTGGTGGTGGTGGCGGGGTCCGCCATCTCTGTTACATCACAGGAAACATTAACTGTCACTGATCCTAAATTTGACCTTCTCGTGTTGTTTGAGGTTGTTGCTGTGATGTCACTGTGATGTCACTGATGACAAAGCAGATTAGTTTTTATGTTTCACAGAAACACACGACTGCAGATTCTCTTTTCATTTCTTTTATTAGAAAATCAGTTTCTGACAACTCAACTCTTCCTACAGTTTCTCTATCAGCCAAGTCAGTCGTTGACTAAGGTTGGCTGTGATTGGTTAAGATGCTGGACAGAGACCGCCTCCTCCTCCCAGAGTCTGTTTCTACAGAGACAGAGACACAAGACAGGAAGTTTGACTCTGATCTCAGGTCTGATGTCACAGATACAGATACAGATATACACTTATACTGCGTATGCTGCTCATTGTTGTTGTCATGGCGACCGCACTGATACAAACAGACTGGGAGCGGACACACACACCAGTATGTCTTTACTGGGTGACTCGTGTTCGGCTCATCTGGATCCACTGTGATATTTATCAGCATTGATGATTCAGACGAGCAGCGAGCTGATGGAGTTTACACTCATATTACATATTAATATACAGGTGATCAGTGTGTGGGTAATAAACCTGATATTAATAATATCCAATTAAGGCAATAAAAATATTGCTCCGCTGCCTTCTGGTCCTTAAATCCAGATTTTAATCAGAAGAACTGAAGCTTTCAAAGAGACGAAACACTGAGTTTAGTTTCAGAAGTTCGATGTGATGTTTTCTTACTCTGACAGAGAGGCAGGCTGCTGCTGCTCCACGAGCCGTCTGACTGACAGTCCATCTGATAATGATCCAGAGTCTCTCCGTCCTGAACCACACAGACACAAAGAGAAAAAGACACAAGATATAAATAGACAAAGACACAAGACACAGAGATACAAAGACACAAAATACAAACAGACAGAGACAAAGATACCAAAAGACAGACACAAGATATAAATAGACAAAGACACAAGACACAGAGATACAAACAAAGACACAAAATACAAACAGACAGAGACAAAGATACCAAAAGACAGACACAAGATATAAATAGACAAAGACACAAGACACAGAAATACAAACAAAGACACAAAATACAAACAGACAGAGACAAAGATACCAAAAGACAGACACAAGATATAAATAGACAAAGACACAAGACACAGAGATACAAACAAAGACACAAAATACAAACAGACAGAGACAAAGATACCAAAAGACAGACACAAGATATAAATAGACAAAGACACAAGACACAGAGATACAAACAAAGACACAAAATACAAACAGACAGAGACAAAGATACCAAAAGACAGACACAAGATATAAATAGACAAAGACACAAGACACAGAGATACAAACAAAGACACAAAATACAAACAGACAGAGACAAAGATACCAAAAGACAGACACAAGATATAAATAGACAAAGACACAAGACACAGAGATACAAACAAAGACACAAAATACAAACAGACAGAGACAAAGATACCAAAAGACAGACACAAGATATAAATAGACAAAGACACAAGACACAGAGATACAAACAAAGACACAAAATACAAACAGACAGAGACAAAGATACCAAAAGACAGACACAAGATATAAATAGACAAAGACACAAGACACAGAGATACAAACAAAGACACAAAATACAAACAGACAGAGACAAAGATACCAAAAGACAGACACAAGATATAAATAGACAAAGACACAAGACACAGAGATACAAACAAAGACACAAAATACAAACAGACAGAGACAAAGATACCAAAAGACAGACACAAGATATAAATAGACAAAGACACAAGACACAGAGATACAAACAAAGACACAAAATACAAACAGACAGAGACAAAGATACCAAAAGACAGACACAAGATATAAATAGACAAAGACACAAGACACAGAGATACAAACAAAGACACAAAATACAAACAGACAGAGACAAAGATACCAAAAGACAGACACAAGATATAAATAGACAAAGACACAAGACACAGAGATACAAACAAAGACACAAAATACAAACAGACAGAGACAAAGATACCAAAAGACAGACACAAGATATAAATAGACAAAGACACAAGACACAGAGATACAAACAAAGACACAAAATACAAACAGACAGAGACAAAGATACCAAAAGACAGACACAAGATATAAATAGACAAAGACACAAGACACAGAGATACAAACAAAGACACAAAATACAAACAGACAGAGACAAAGATACCAAAAGACAGACACAAGATATAAATAGACAAAGACACAAGACACAGAGATACAAACAAAGACACAAAATACAAACAGACAGAGACAAAGATACCAAAAGACAGACACAAGATATAAATAGACAAAGACACAAGACACAGAGATACAAACAAACAAAGACACGAAATACAAAGACACAAAGATACAAACAGACAGAGACAAAGACACCAAAAGGCAGACATAAGATATAAACAGACAAAGACACAAGACACAGAGATACAAACAAAGACACAAGATACAAAGATACAAACAGACAGAGACAAAGACACCAAAAGACAGACACAAGATATAAATAGACAAAGACACAAGATACAAAGATACAAAAAGACAAAGATACTCAAAAAAGATACCAACAGACAAATACACAGGACACAAAGATACAAACAGACAAAGAGACAAAGACACAAGATACAAACAAAGATACCAACAGACAAAAGGACAAAGACACAACGATACAGACACAAAGAAAGATACAGAGACAAAGAGACAAAGATACCCAAAGACAAAGATACCAACAGACAAAGAAACAAAGACACAACTCAACTCAATTTTATTTATATAGCACATTTAAAAACAACCTCAGCTGACCAAAGGCCTATTAAAATAAACAATACAACATCATACAGTGAACAATGAAAAGATCATAAGAACAAGATGTCATGCTTAACAAGTGCCGAAGGCCAAAGGGATTTAAAATGCTCCAGTGTTTGGGCAGCTCTTATATGTAAAGGTCGGCTGTTCCCCAGGTTAGGACCTATCTATCACCTTTACTTTTGAGCCTCGATCTCGGAACCTCCAACAGTGATAGATTTGTAGACCTCAACGCTCTCATTGAGGTGTGAGGCTGTAAAAGCTCAGTCAAATAAGATGGGGCCAGGCCATTAAGACTCTTAAAAACAAGCATGATAATTTTAAACTGGATCCTGAAAAGGACTGGAAGCCAGTGTACGGAGGCTAGAGCAGGTGTGATGTGATCACGCCGTCTCTTTCCTGTTAACAGGCGGGCTGCTACATTTTGAACTGCCTGCAAATGGCGCAGTGATGACTGGTCGAGTCCAACGTACAAAGAATTAAAATAGTCTATATGCGAAGAGATGAAGGCATGAATTACTCTCTCAAAGTCATGTGGAGGGAGGTAGGCCATCACCTTACTCAGGAGTCTCAGTTGAAAGAAGCTTGTCTTAACAACTGAACTAATCTGTTTATCCAGTTTAAAGGCAGAATCAAATATCACACCAAGGTTCTTCACAGTGGTGTAACAAGAGGATGCTAATGAACCAATGGCACTGTCATAGCAATCTAAAAAAACTGGATTGCCCAAATAGAATGATTTCAGTTTTGTTTTCGTTCAGGTTAAGAAAGTTCAACTCCATCCATGATTGAACATCTTTAAGAGAGTTCAGCAGCGCTTGAACAGAGGCCTCACTATTTGTTTTTATGGGCAGATTGATCTGTAGATCATCCGCAAAACAATGAAAGGAGATGTTTAAATATTGACCCAAGGGGCGCATATACAATGAGAATAAAATAGGGCCCAAGATGGAGCCTTGCGGTACCCCACAACTAAGCGGGGACGCAGCTAAAGAATACTGGCCGAGATGGACAGAGAAACTTCTATTCGATAGACAAGACTGGAACCACTTAAGAGCTGCACCTTTAATGCCTACACACAAGTTAAGACGTGACAGAAGAATGTTGTGATCTACTGTGTCAAAAGCAGCAGACAGATCCAAAAGACCAGGACAGCAGCGTCGCCAGAATCAACAGTTAAAAGCAGGTCATTAAAACTCTTAAACACAAGAAAGATACATTCAGACAAAGACAAAAGATATAAATAGACAAAGAGACAAAGATACCAAAAGATAAAGACACAAAGATACAAACAAACAAAGGCACAAGACACAAAGATATAAACACATACACGAGATACAAAGACAAAGATACAAACAAAGAAACAAGATATAAATAGACAAAGAGACAAAGATACCAAAAGACACAAGACACAAAGATACAAACAAACAAAGGCACAAGACACAAAGATACAAACACATACACAAGATACAAAGACAAAGATACCCAAAAAAGATACCAACAGACAAAGAGACAAGTATACATAGACCCAGAGAACAAAAGGGATGTAGACACAAAGATGCAAAGATACAAAAAGACAAGACGCAACAAAACAAAGAGACAAATATACAAATAGACAAAGAAACAAAAATACAAATGAACAAGGACAAGACACAATGCAACAAAGACACAATGCAACAAAGACACAGAGTGTTCTGTTAATACAAATCATTCCAAGAACATTAAATCTGGACCCGACCGTGCGCTGTAAGAAATGTGACGTCACACACTGGTCTGTGGACTCCTGATCTGACGCCTCCAGTGATCCAGTATGGGAGTTGCCCAGCAACGAATTAACCATATTTGGACAAAAGGGTGGAGCTTAGTGGCTAACTTGGTTAGCATCGTGCATTTACACCTGCGGCGCCACCTGCTGGTGTCCGACAGTAACAGGAAGTGAGTTGTACCTTCAGCAGTGTGTATCCAGGTGAACAGGTGAAGAGGATGTGGTCTCTGAAGGAATATTCTGATTGGACGGGGGTCAGCACAGCGTTGGGCGGGACTTCAGGTGCAGGACACGTACTTCCTGTCACGACAAAATAGAAGCCTTTAAAAAACATTGATGTGTATGTGTGTAGTGTGTAGTAAGAAGTGTGTACCCACCTATAGACGTGTATGTGATCCTCCAGCCCAGGTTCTCTCCGGAGTTGTCGCTGTGGAAGACGACGGTGACGGTGTTGCTTTCGGTCTGGATCTCACCTGGAGAACGATCTCCGCAAAACGGACCGAAGTGACGGCCTCCGGCTGTAATCTGACACACACACACAGCTGATCAGAGTCTTGGACTGACCACAAGTCCGTCTAACGTGAGCTGTACTCACCTTGACATGGTCGTAGGGGCAGTTGACATCGGGGTGGTCCTCCACGTCAAAGACAGGGTCGAACTGGAGGCGGAGCCTGAAGCCTGGCTCCACCTCAATGCGGTACAAACACTCTGAGCTCTTCGGGTACGGAGATGGGAAATCTACGCTGCTCAGAATGCCGGAGCGTTCCCTGAACACACCGTCACTGCAGTCCACTGAGACACACACAGAGGAGAAACATGTGTTCAAGAGTGAAGAGTAGATGAAACATCATGTGTTCATAAGTGAAGAGTAGATGAAACATCATGCGTTCATAAGTGAAGAGTAGATGAAACATCATGTGTTCATAAGTTAAGAGTAGATGAAACATCATGTGTTCATAAGTAAAGAGTAGATGAAACATGTGTTCATGAGTGAAGGTGAAACATTATGTTCATAAGTGATGTCACAAACTGTTTCAGAGAAGATGCTGTTCGTAGAAAAGTTGAGTTTTTGTGTATTTAGTGTGTGTGTGTGTGTGTGTGTGTGTGTGTGTCTGTGTGTGTGTGGGTGTGTGTGTGTGTGTGTGTCTGTGTGTGTGTGTGTGTGTGTGTGTGTGTGTGTGAGAGACCCTCCTCCACACAGAAACATGAACATCCAGTAAATATTTGCGACCAATCAGCAGCTGTTATCAGTCAGCATCAGGTCAGAGTCCAGATCCTGGACACATGACCACAGATGCAGTCCTCAGAGTGTCCTGAGGGGGCGCTGCTCAGACTGTTCACATAGCAGCAGCTGATGATTTACAGAATTCAGATTAAAGCCGTGACATCAGTGCCTGAACCTGATGGCTGTGTGTTCAGTTATCACTGAGACTGAGATCCACAGTGACTGAGACGACTGACTGATGTTCTGTCACCGTGGAGACTAGGGTGACCATATTTTGCTTTCCAAAACAAAGGATACTTGGCCCAGCCACGAAATAGCCTACTTAAATGAAACTCACAGTTTACTCAAACATGCCTTATAATTTAAATATAAGTGAAGTTTATATGTATGGATAGAAAATTCAGTTATATTACAAAATAAAATATCTCACAGACAGAAATTCAGAAAGGCTTTTTACAAGTTTCAATTGTACAAAAATAAATATAAATGTAAAATCTATGGAATGAAATAATGATAGAAATAATGTCTCTTCTATGTGAGCTTTGAGGTCCCGGCACCTTCATTAGACACAGAAACATATGTGCCAGCTTTGCACACGGTGCACTCAGCCTTCCAGGGACGGTAAGTTTGGAATTTTTTCTGCAGTTCATCTGTGAAGCTGCACTTGCGCTTCGGCATCTTGGAAGCTTAGAATAATGCTGCGCCGCCAGGGTCTGCTGCTTCCTTGCTGTGAGTGTTGGAGATCCGCTGACAAGGTAGCCACACTGGTATTACGTCACACACGCTAACCCAAACAAGGACAACCGGGGGTGGGGGACACACATACACACACACACACACACGCACACACACATACACACACACAAGGAAAACCGGACATTACCATCAATTTATAAACACCCCCCAGACGCCCCGAACAGAACATGGAAAGTGGACATGTCCGGGCAAAAGAGGACGTTTGGTCAGCCTAGTGGAGCCAACTGACTGATGTTCTGTCACCGTGAAGACGTCTGTGTACCAACAGTAAACCTGAATGAACCTCAGCTGTTTGTTCCTGAAGTTGAAACCTGTCACAAAGCTTCCAGTGTTGTTTGACACTGTGACTTGTTGGCAGCAGAGTTTAATCAGGGTCAGCTGCAGGAATTCACTGTAAGCTTATTAAAAACCTGCACCGGGCAGCCCGACAGTCTGCACCGGAGTCAGAACCCAGATTACAACTGTGGAAGGTCAACTCACAACCACTTCAACATCATGTACACTAATCCACTTATGCACGACCACTTTACCATGGTGCACTGTTACATACATCCACTTTACCATGAGACACTTATATATATACATCCACTTTACCATGAGACACTGATATATGCATTCTACATATAGAAATGTATGTTTTGTATATCTTTTAAATGTGAACCAACCGTCAGCAGCAGCAGAAGAAGACAGCAGTCTTCATTCATGATGTTTCTTCCATCAGGATGAACACAGACCTAGGTTGGGTTTATAACCTAAGTGTGTGTCAGGTTATGACACCATTACCGGTCTCACCTCTGCAGGTGCGGTTGTCAGAGTGAAGCAGGTAACCATAGCGACAGGAGCAGTAGTATCCTCCGATGTAGTTATGGCAGAAGTGATCACAGAGGAGGTCTTCATCACTGTGCTCGCTGCACTCGTCCATGTCTGAGGAGAGGGAGACAGAGACAAAGGTCAGAGGGAGACATCAGAGTTTACATGTCCCTGACTCGTCTCCAGTGTGTTATCAGCTGTGTGAACCTGCAGGAGGTCAAACTGATATGTTTGGACATTACTTATCTTCTGCAGCGTCATGTGTCCGAGCTTCACTGGTTCATGTTTCTTCTTATCTGCACATATTTCTGCTTCTTATAAACATTCACTAACTCTCAGAGCTGAAAACAGAAACTAGTCTCTCTGCTTTCTATTGCTTCTGTCCGTCCAATGTTTTCAGGACTGTTCAGCTGCTAACGGCGTCTCAGTGTTCCTGTGATATTAACACAGATTAAGATGAGCTTATATTCATATACTGACCATTGTTGAGAATTAAGATACATCATTTCCCGCCTAACAAACATTTAAAATTATAACTTATCAACACACTGATTCTGTTTGTGGGTGAAACATAATTTTTAAAAGCTTTATTTATATAGAATAAATATCATTTATAAAATATGTTTATCTGCGTTCACTTCTTTAACCTCTGAACTTGTCTCAGACAAAAACTCATAACTTCAATTCAAACTGTGTTAAAAGCCTTTAAAATTTAAAACTAAGAGAACGTCCTGAGAACACCGAGTCAAAATGTTCTGCCATAAAAGTCTTCGTCTTAAAATATAATTTTTAAGAAAATGTTGGTCCTTTAAAGATGTGTCACAGATTTTTGTCAACTGTCAGATTACAACAAAAACTATACAGAAAAGATATTATTGGCAGATACACAGACGAGTGAAGGTTGTGGACTGTAAACTGGGTTTCTGACTGATTCATTTCACTAGGTGGTGAACGGTCCGGGGACAGTTTCATATTAGTTGTAAATAAATTTGGGAATTTGTTGAAATAATTTTTGACTTAAAAAAAGAAATGTAAGAAGGGGGACAGATAAGTTTTACTTCTACCTGCTGCTTTTGGACAGTTATATGCCTTCTTTGTTTTTTTAATTATGTTATTTTTATATATATTTTTTGTTTGAAATAATTCATTTATTTATCAGGTATGACAGGAGGAAACTACATCACAGGGACTTCCTGTCTCACTTCCTGGTTTCAACAAAGGTGTGAACGCTGCTCTGGTCATTCATATTTCATGATTCATTAAATAATATTTCTGTCAGGTGAATCTGAAGGTGTAACAGGTCGACTCTGTTGGCCTTTAAATCCAAACTAAAAAAGAATTTTCATCAGCATAAACAAAAAAACTCTGAGCAACTCGACTACACCCGCTGTGACATTATAAATCTAAAACTTTTTGTCACCTCCGTCACATCTGACCTCTGACATCCGTCATGTCTGATATTTAAGACAACATTCAATCAGAGGGAGGTTTAACAGTCCAGACGTTGATCCTTGAACATTATTGAAGAGTAAAGTCCTCTGCTCACTGAGACTGTTTGTTTGTTTGTTTGTTTGTTATGCATCTTGTTAATCCGTCATCTGAAAATAATCGTTACACACAGAAACCTCTCACACTGAGTCCGATGAGTTTTATTCTTCTGTTTGTTGTGAAAATATGCAACACGAGACAAAATGAAAGACACATTTCCCCCTTTGCCTCTCTAACCTGCAGTTACCTATCTGACTGACATCACTTCCTCCCACAGCTACAGGAAGGGGCGGAGCTGACCTCCCTTTCTGTCTCCTCCTCCTCCTCCTCTTCCTCATCATCTTCCTGAATTTTACTATTTGACCTGTTGAACATCTGAGTTATGAAATGATTCTGTTCCTCTGTCTCGTGTCAGCTGTGTTCACTGATTAAGTCAGACGTCTCTAACGACTGACGGAGGAGAAAAACACAGGAAGTTGAACCTGTTCTGAAACTTTTGATGACAGACGACAGATTCGGACTCAGTGTGAAAACATGACACAGTGTGAGGTTGTATTCATTTTTACACCTGCGACAGTTTTGGACAAAAAAACGGATTCAGGCCCCGATCACACAGGAAGTGTTTCAGCAGCTGGAGGCACCTTTTTGTAACAGATTTTAATAAGAATGAAACTTCTGCTCGCCGGACGATAGACAGCAGGTTGTCAAACTGCCCCTGAGTCGTCCTAAAATCTGCCTGTAAACGTCCATGATGGAGGAGAAGCTCCTGGACCAACTGGTGGTACTCCCCATGATCCAGCCTCTTTTTTAGGGTCTCATGTACCCACACAGATCTCTGTTTATCTGCTGACAGCCTCTCACCCTCAACCAGAGCTACAGACAGCACCCTCTGCCTCAACATGGCAGCAACTACACACTGATTAACGGTAGAGTGATTACATGGGAATTGCATGCGAATTCGCATTTGGTGGGAACGCAGCTTTACAGTGACGTTTGAAAGAGTTCTTCAGCTCGTTGTTCAGGTCCTATGACGTCTCTTATTGTCCTGACGCTGTGTTCCTAATATAAAGACAGTTTTTACACTGCGTCTCGTTAATAATGAGTCAGCTGTGAAACTTTTGGTGTGACATCATCAGTGAAATATCTGTGGTGAATCGGACTTTGAGACGAGGCTGAGAGACGTTTATAGTGATGCTGAACTTGTGTCGCCGATAGTAAGCGCGGCCTGTTCTTAATGAATCTGCCTGTGAGTGTGTGATCGGCCTCTGGTGGCCGTCAGAGGAACTGCGGCGGTGCCTCACCCACAGCGCTGTAGTGAGCCATGAATCCAGAGTATCGCTCCTCGTTGGAGAAGTCGGAGCGGAAGATGACGCTGAGGGAGTTCCTGGGCGACGTGATGACCTGCTGAGCCGGCACCGTCTCCGTGTCCGTCTCCTCCCGCCCACAGAACAACGCCAGCACCTCCCCCTCCGCCTCCACCTGGACACCACCAAACACAGGGACACACTGCGTCATTAAAATACTACAGTACAAGTTCCTATAACAATACTGCAGTATGAGTTACAGTGTTACCTGAGGAAAAGTATCCGAGTATTATCAGTAAAAAGTAGTTTACTGTGGAGGTGTACGACGGCAACGTCAGAAAAAAAAAAAAAAAAATAATATCAAATATAAATATTAGGGGTGACCCCGAATAGTCGATGAGTCGGTGATTCGATTTGGAGAAGTCTGATTCGACTGCCAGTCTCATAACTGTGGTTATGAAACAAGACTGTACCATATATGGGGGTGCTCACTGCTGCTGAACATCTTGATTTGACATAGAATGTATTTGTTTTCTAGTTATTCATGATATATAGCCTATTGTGATACAAACATCAGCCTAATTTCTGCTACTAGTGAAATTATACAGAATAAATGAAGACAGTGACATATTTTCAATAAAAAACATGAGTTAAATGTTACTTTCAAGCTTTTGTAGTACAACGAATTTCAGAATTGTGCGAGTGCGGACGGAGAGCGGGCGGCAGTGTTTGATGCAGGAAGCTCGATATGGACTTGAAAATCAGTTTCGGACTGGAGGGCTGTCCCCTGTTTAATCAGTAGGCATAATCATTACTACACATGAATAAATCACCCAGTTGCTCGATCCAAATAAGCGGAGGTGAGTGAGTGCGCTGCAGGACCATCAGAGCAGCATCGAGGTGCTCTCAAATCAAACTTTTTTGAAGGATTATTCGTTTACCTGAAGTGTCTTGAAACTAGTTTCACCGCTGATTGTTTTCTTGATAGACTCTGATTTTTTATTTGGCTATTTTTGTCCGACGTGGTCAAACAATTGAGAGCGGTGACGCACGGGGTTGGAATTGGGGGGTTAGATCACCACATGATTCCCGAGCGCAGCACCGCTGCTGCTCACCGCTCCCTCAGGGGATGGGTCAAATGCGGAGAACAAATTTCACACACAATCAGTGGAACTTTAACTTTAATGCAAATGAGCTCATTAATCAATGAGGGGGGAATAACATGATTCAACGATTCGTCGGCTAAAGGAAAAATCTGTCAAATCAGATTCGACTATGAAAATTCTTAGTCTGGGACACCCCTAATAAATACTGATAAATATTAAATTAAATAAATAATAAAAAACAAACTCATATTCTAACAATATAATTATTGATCTTATTATAACGTGAAATGTTCATCATCATCATCATTAAATCCCTTATATTTAATTCAAGTGTAAGATATTGTTTACAAACAGTTTGAGTCGTCACTCACTGCAGCGCTCTATGACATCATCACCCTTAAACAAACTCCTCCAATAAAAGGCTTTGTTTGAATAACGTGATTCATCTGATGAGACGAGTCGTCAGGTTTATCAACACAAACAAACATGATGACATTAATATATATAAAATACACCAGAACCTTTTGACTCTGAACTCACTCACTGTGACAGGACACGGCTGTAACCATGGTAACAACACATCCCATCTTCTTCCAGTGACACTCATCACCTCCTGACCGACCTGTCTTCATCTCTGACAGCTGTGTTTTTTCATATTGTTTGTGTTAAAGAACCTTTTAAAGTGTTTTTTTTTAAATTCTATGTTTACAAGTCTCTTCACTCAGTTTGTCTCTGATCTGGAACCTCTCTGCCCTTCCATGTGCAGACATGAAGGGCAGAGGTCAGAGGGGTCACAGAGGTCAGAGGTCAGAGAGGTTTGCTCTCTCAGCCTCACACTGTCCATATGTATAAAGTGTGAGGCAGAGCAGCAGCAGAGACTTCTGGGACACTGATGAGTCAGACACAACATGACTATGATGCATCGGGCTCTCACCTTGACGTAGTCGTACTCACACATGTACGACGGCTCCAGATCGAAGTGGCTGAAGTACAGTTTCACCAAGAAGCCGGCGGGGATGCTTATGTTCCAGCAAAGCTCCGCCTCCCGCGGATACGGCTCCGGGAAGTTTGGAGACTGCAGGCTGCCGTACATCTCCGATAGCAGCTGAGCGTCCACCACCAGGAGGAGGAGGAGCAACGCCAATGCACTGTGGGAGAGACATCATCATCATCATCATCATCATCATCATTAGAGTCACCACCTTGGCGTGAGGGAGGAGTCTGTGTGTCCCTGTGGGAGCTGGGTTGTTCGGGGCTAACAGCTCCTGAAGTAGGCGGGGCCAGACTCAGAGCAACTCAACAACGCCCTGATGTTACCATGCTATTAGACTTTGAGTACCTCCCCCCCGTACCAGGCGACCAACCTGTTCAACTGCTCCTTAACCCTCAAAGACTCAGACCACCGCCTCCGCCGCCACCGCCACCGCCTAAAAACAGCTGTTGTTCTTAAATGTTTAAAACGTTTGAACGGCTTTGAAAAGTCTGGTAACGTGGAGACTCTCAGCTCCTCGGTGGTTCAGGTCAGACGTCTCGTCTGGACGTTCAGATTCTGCAGCAGAGGGAAACCTCATTGTTCAGTCCTCAGCTGTGGATGCTTCGTCCCAGCCATGTGTTCTGATTGGTTCAGAATTTCACTGTAGTGGGTTAGACATCATCTGTGCCACCAATCAGCATCCGTTACAGTATTGGGGTTTGGTCTAGCTGACAGGAAGTTGGTCCGTTTGCTGCAGGAAAAGGAAACACAACCAGGGAAGAGTTGGGAGTATTTCTGTCAAACAAGTCGCCTGCGACATTGAAGCTGATCCTCGCCAGGTTCAGATGCAGACAGCTGCTGCAGCGAGGCAGCGAGGCAGCGAGGCAGCGCTCAGACTGAACATAGGAGTTTCAGTGATAACCTCTGAGTATAGTCTCATAATAAATGTTTTTAAAATAACTTGATGAGGTTGTGTTTGTGTTCACAGGAAAAAACATCTGTTAAATTTATCCATCATCATGAAAACAAATGTAAAACTGTGACTTTAAATGAGTTCGACTGAAACTTGAGGTTCTCCTGATTAAAATAAAATTAACACAGTGTCACCACCTGAGCAGCTGTCTCACAGGTGACCCGACAGACCCCGCAGGTCACAGGGCAGCTGTCTCACAGGTTTGATCACAGTGACACAAACTGGGACCAAACTGAAACCAGTCACTTCCAACACACAGATATTAGAACCAGGCTGCTGAGAGAGCGCGACCCTGACCTGCCCAGCGAGGCGCTGACTGACCCAGCTGGTCTTCAGCTGCCGAGCTCGAGGCGGCTCCAAACACAGAGCCATGACAGAAGAAGAAGAAGAAGAAGAAGAAGAGTGACACAGCGACGCCTCAGACTCAGGACGACCACCAATAACCATAAAGGTAAAATAACAAAGGTGAGATATTTAAAGCGTCGCTGACTCAACACAGAGAAACAACCAGAGATCATTTCAACAAAGAGACGACTTCTGGAACAAAGGTCACCAGGTCAGAGCGGACAATACGACCTCACATCAATATCAGCAATAACTGAACATTTGATCTCGGTTATGATCAAAGAATTTAATTTGTGTTTTTGCCCTCAGAGTTGACTGATCAGGTCTGGACTGTAAATCTGCTCCAATATTAAAGATGGAGATTATTTCTAACGACAGATGGTTGTGATTTAAATCTAATCTGATTATTTATGAAAGTCACCTTTAATTTGAATGTAAAAACTCTAAAAAATAACTTTCATATCTTTTAAACTAAACATTAGAAGACATCTTTTAAAAATGTCTCATTTTAGTTTGAAAGTAAAAATCATAAAATAAAAACAAATATTTTTTAAATATAAAGTTTAAGTATCCAAAAACTTTTATAAAGCTGATGTGTGAACAGCTGATATAATGAACACACACCGAGTTAATGTCACTTCCTGTTATTGTTGTGTTGACAGAAATAATTAAAGTTAAACTGTAGCTATGATCAGCTGAGGCTGCAGCGACACCTGCAGGTCATGATGTCATTTGTTTTCTTTTGTTTGTCTTTTTCTAAGCTAAAACAAATCAGTCGTTTATCCGTCAGTGTGTTCGAGTTTTATAAGCTGTGAAATAAACTGAACTAATAAACATCACATATTTTCAGGCTGCAGAAACAAACAAACAAACAAACTGAACTGATCGATTAATTAATTAGTAATAAATCGATTAACAGACCTCATTCTGCAGCACAGACCTCAGCTCCTCTGTCTGCCTCTGTCCCCGTTTCTCTCTCTGTGTGTCTCCACTCGCGGAGCCTCGCGCACTTCAGCGCTACGTGCAGTCACGTGTGACGTGAGTGAGGAGCTCAACGTCATCACGTTAAGTAAAGTCCTGCTGAAACCCCACAGAGACATAAAAACATGTTTTACAGATGAGAAGTGCTTTTGTTTGTAGGAAATATATTTTGTTGACCTGCTATGTTTGTTTGTTTGTTTGTTTGTTTGTGAAACATGATGAAATATAATAAATATGTTGTTTATTAGTCTGACGGGTCTGTTTATATTTACAGAACAACAAGCATCAGTTTGTACAAACACTGCAGGAACATTTAACACTCATCATCATCATCATCATCATCATCATCATCACAGTACTGGAGGGGAGTTTGTCCCGTGTACTCAGTGACGTCATCCCGCCACAGTTGACAAATAAAAGTATTTGTGTTAAAATAAAAAAAAACTAAAATAAATGAAATAAAAGTTGTGTTGAAAGATTTATTTTGAAGGAGCCACCGGGGGGCGCCACCTGACCACCTGTCACACTCTGCTCTTTACGCCCCGCCCTCCTCCAGCCCCTGGTTGCCATGGTGACGTGAACACTGAGGTCAGTGAGTGTGTAGTTGTGCTGTGTGTCCCTGTGTGTTGTTGTGATAATTATTATAATAAATCAGCGGGTGGAGGAGCGGGGGCGGCGGGTGGTGTCCTCGTCCTCCTCCTCCTCCTCCTCCTCCTCCTCCTCCTCCTCCTCCCGTCATGCCGAGCCGACAGAAGCAGCTGCTCTTCTCCACCTCCGGCCTCCTGGGTCTGTGCTGCGCCCTGACGGCGGCGGTGTCCACCGGGCTGCCGCTGTGGCTCCGCGGGGCCGTGCTGTGCCGAACCGGGGCCGAGCTGGTGAACGCGACGGGAGCCGAGCTGGACCAGTTCCTGGGAGAGCTGCAGTACGGCCTGTTCAGCGGGCACAGGGTGAAGCAGTGCGGGCTGGGGGGGAGGCCGTCCCGCTTCTCCTGTGAGTCTCTGCACACACACACACACACACACACACACACACACACACACACAGGTCACCTGAGTGACGTCAGCACAGGTGCAGAGCTGCTCTCTCATCCAGGAGAAATATTAAAGTCATCAAGTTTTTATCTGGATAGTTTTAAAGACTCCTTACAGAGGTTATTAAAGGTCAGTCTGCTCAAACTCTGATTGGCTGTTAGTAGTGACGATCAACAGGTGACGTCATGGGCTGGTTAATTATTCAGAGCTGTGAATTATTCAGTTTCTTTACAAAGACAAAACACACCTGACACACCTGAGTGTCTCTGAGTGTCTCTGAGTGTCAGGGCTCCGTCTAATTCCTGCTGACGTCAAAGTTCTCCTGTGTCATAGCTGAATGAGCCTCAGCTGCAGGTCGAACACACGTCCGAGATGTGACGAGCACTTTCATAAAAACAGACGAGGATTGTTTCTCTGTTTGAAAATAAACAGCTGCACAACATGGAATATGATATCAGATAAAGAGCAGGCTGCACGGTAACATCTTATTTATTTATTTATCTTTGTTGATTCATTTGTTTCATTTGGTGTTCATGGTTTCAGTAAAATGAACCAAGCTAACGATGTTAGTGTCTCCGCACTCACACAAGTTTAAACATTTATATCTGTGTGTGCAATCTAAGCAGCTAACTAACATTGGCTCAGGTGGCTAACTAACATTAGCTCAGGAAGCTAACTAACATTAGCTCAGGAAGCTAACTAACATTAGCTCAGGAAGCTAACTATAAACTCTGTAGGATCCATATTGAAACGTGGACAAAGGCCAAAGTTATTCAACAATGATCAGTTTCTTGTGTCCAACATGTCGGTGTGTTTCATCAGGTCTGTTGTCACAGGTCACAGCCCCAGGCCTCTAATGGAGACAGGCCTTTATCTGCTCAGACATGCAGCCACACAGGACCAGTGACAGAGCGGGTGTTGAACTGACGTTTGACGGTAGTCGTGCATCTCTTTACTGAACTATAACAACATATCGAGGTGAGCTGAGGTTTGTCGTTTACTAGAATAAGACGAGGAGATGAACTCTGAAGCAGGAAGTGCTCTGATTGTCCCCTCAGCACAGCTTCCTGTCTGACACTGATGTCACACAGACATGACCTCTGACCCAGCAGAACCTCTGTGACGTGCACAAACATTCATCACTGTGTTACCTGAGTGATCTATAACATTGTCTCACAGCACGCTGGGAAACTCCGCCCACTCAGTCCCACCACGCCACAGCATGATCAGAGCACAGTGACAGTGATGATTATTGGCAGCAAACTAATAGTCTGATTAACTCAAGTTTTCATCTGTGTCGACGTCAGGTGTGTCAGGTGTGTCAGGTGTGGGCGTGTCAGTGCAGCTGCAGGAGCCACAGTGGGCGGAGTTTCATTTCTCGATCAGGCTGTAAAGTTTAAAGATGACATCATTAGGTCATCAGGGGTTAAAATACACTGTAATCATGCTGCAAACACGACCATGTCCCAGGTGCATCAGAGGTTGTTTGTTGGTCTGCAGCTCTGCACGAACCCCCCCCCCCCCCCCCCCCCCCCCCCCCCCCCCCCCCCCCCCCCCCCCCC